CGATAATAACGCGGGTTCCCTCGCGCTCTCGCGACGAAGTGCTATTGCCGAAGTTAATTTATGGATCAGCGAGACGTGTTTAAAGCTTTATTGGAGGAACTTCGTTGCCTCGACGTTACGTCACTTACCCGATAGCGTAGCCCGGGAATGGGGATCGAACTCGCGCGCATTCTGAACTTTGCGATATGTTAATATAACGCGAGATGCAAAATGGTGTGCCTTATATCAAACGTCGCTTCTGCGAATTGTTCTTCTTTAGCACTCGGCAAAGCGAATGTGTACGCTATGGTACACCAAGTCTAAAAAATTATATGGCAAACTGTGGAATTCCGATTTCTAATCCGTTTGACTTGCTTATTCGCAACCCATTGGCACGTTTCAAAAGCTTCAACGAGATAACTTATGCAAAGTATACAATGGCACGTACTTGGGAGTTTCATACTTTGTAAGTCCACTAATACGTAAATCAAATATTAAAGTAACGTAAACTTCATCCTTGTATTCAAACTATTTAGTTTGACAAAATTAGTCGTTAATCCACAAAGTTATATGCAACGTAAGTATAAATCTTGAATTCAAGAGTGTCAATTCCCAGCATCCATATAAATATGATTGGAGACACTATCAAGCATAACTGCTGCGTAGCGGAAACTCGGCAAAAACTTGTCCAATCTCCCGGATTGCTCGGTGGCAAAAGGTTAAGGTGCTTTCAAAGTGAAGCGCTCGCTCGTGCGGCATGGTCGGAAATATTGACGCAACATGACGACGTGGAGTTTATGCGGGAGTCGGATCGCAATCGTGAGTATGTCGCGGTTATCGACAAGTTGCTCATTCGCGTCTCGAAACCGGCCTGTCTTTAACGTGAAACTTCGCAAGGGGGGAACGCGCGCGACAAGTTTCCGCGACGGGAAATTCAAGTGTAGCGGCAGTCCTGATACGCTCAAAAGCAAAATCCGGAAAATCGAGGCGCGTATCACTGGAGGCAGCTAAAACGTCCCGTGCCGCGATCCCCTAACAAGCCGAATCGCGAAAAAAAACTCATTTCAAATAGCTTCCGCTACGTGGATTCACGTCATGCATACACGCAAATGCACACAAATACTTACACACACAGTATAGACAAGAATCTCATCCCAAGAAGGGATCCCAAGAAGTTCCGGGTAAACCTTGTTCCACGGCGCCGACGACATCACCAACATTAAGCACATCGAGGCGCGTAAGTAGTCGGCGGCGCTCATGGTCAGACAAGTACGGTGCGGCGCGGCAGCGGTGAAGTTTACCGAACAGCTGTGCGAAAATGTATCGTCGTTATTTGTTCCTTGGTAGTTCCTACCCGCGGTTAGGTTACAGTCGCCTCAGTTGCACTCGGTGTGCTCAATTTGCGCAGATAAGACCGGTGTGGCTAACCCGACCTTAAAGAAAAAGTTAGAAACATATAAGGCTGTAATCCGCGTCTTGGGACGCTAAGAGAAGTTACTAAGCAGAAGGTTTTCTTTCTCGACCAACTTTGTTGGTTAAACCGATCCGAGAGAACTAAAATGTTTTATATCGAATGTGATCATCGATGAGAAAGTTAAAGATACTAATCTTTCCCACTT